ACAAGGACACTGTAAAATATGTATTTTATTTTAGTTGGAAGTAGATGCCATCTTAAGGATTTTAAGGTAACAATGTCATTTTGTGGAAAAACTAATTATTCAAAGCTCTGGTTTTATATCAAAACTGGAAGGAGTCTTTAATACACATATTTTAGAAGTTGTAATTCTGTATGAGTAAGTGTAAGTATATATATATATATATATATATATATCTCACACCAACCAAAATGGTACACTTAGCCAGTACTGGCCCGAGACTGGTTACTGAAACTGAGCCAACACCAGCGGCATTGGGCCACAATCACACCAACCAAAATGGTACACTTAGCCAGGGGCAAGATCAAGCTCAAACCGGTGCGCGATGTTTTGCTACGGTTTCCGGTTTGAACGACATGTTTCCTGGAAACGGTGTGCAGTGGGGTTTGAGATACGTTTTCTCTGGTTTGGTGGGTGTGTCAAACATGTCAGCCCAATCAGCAGCAACATGTATATAAACCACAAGGTATTAAAGAGACAGTTGGCACAATGTAATTAACATCAAAATAAATTCACAAGAGCAAGTATATTGTTTGCACATGTTTATTTACATTAAAGGCAAACTAACTGAAATAATAAGAGCATAAGTATAGATCTGGAACTTCTTTAAGTCTGTCTAAATATCATTTAGTAATTGCAATGTCTTTTGGTCCATATCCTTTCCTTAGGAAGGTGTGCTAGACACTGATTAATGTAACATAAAAATACTATACATATATATTTTACTATTGTATTGTGGAGTGACACTTTTATAAACTTTTCTATACTCCTCTGATGATATAATGGTAAATATCACAATAACATAGCACAACAACAGTGATCAGCAATAATGATAAGCCTAATACTCACAATAAAAATAATATAGATCATAACACCGTCTCGGAGGCAAGAAGTGGATTATCCTTCACCTGAAATGTTTGTCTTTTCATCCTGAAATGCGAGGCAAATGTTGGATCACAATAATTAGGAACCACAGTTTCCACAAATCCCTTCACTCTATTGGGATGTTCTCTTTTATTCTGGAGGGCAAGGGCAGTGACTGTAACATATAGCGGATTTTGCAGTATTAAACACGTATTTATACCGATTTCATCAGGCTCCGACAATTCTTCAAAAAGAACACAAAGAATGGCCTTCTCAGCTGCCATAGTTGCAACTCTTGTGTCATCAGAACAGTGTGTTCAACGCACAACCGTTTACGTTTAAAAAAACATTTTGCACTGTTTTGTAGGGGCTGAACGCAGCCCAGTACTGGCCCGAGTCTGGGTACTGAAACTGAGCTGACACCACGCAGTGGAAAAGCGCCATAAGTGTTTCATTTCTCGTCAGTGTGATTGTGGCCCAATGCTGGTGGTGTTGGCCCAGTTTCAGTACCCAGACTCGGCCAGTTCTGGCTAAGTGTTTCATTTCTCGTCGGTGTAATTGTGGCCCAATGCCGGTGGTGTTGTCTCAGTTTTAGTACCCAGACTCAGGCGAGAACCGGCTAAGTGTTTCAATTCTTGTCGGCGTGATTGTGGCCCAATGCCGGCAGTTTTTGCAGCCGGACTCAGACCAGTGTATTTGGGCCAATTCTGGGGCGTCATTCATCCCATGTCCATGCTGACTCTGGCAACGAGTTATTTCCTCCGGCCTGCCGGATCTGGGCCATTATCGGGCCAAACCGTTTTGGCTACCTGGGAGGGGATGCATAATCTGGCAGGGTGCAGAATTCGGCACAACACCTGGCTCCAGGCATGGGCAGGGGGGGGCTGAGCCCACCCAAATGACTGTCTTGCCCACCCAATCAGAATTAGATAAAGATTACGTTAATTTTTTGTGCATAGATAAAAACTAATCTGAAGCGAACTGTATTTTGAGAAGTATAGCTTGAGACTGCCCAAACAATTATAAAATAACTCCAGAAAATTGCAGCATTTTTCTTTTATTAGCTGAATGCAAGGCGCGCTCGCGCTGAATTCACGCGGAGGCTTCAGTTTGCTGCAGTAAAGCAGAGGCTGACAACAAGTGA